ACACACATTTATGATACATGTGGGCGCACGCGCACGCGCACATGCACGTCCACGCGTGCATGCATACAACATGCGCGTGGAGCATTCAAACGCATTTTTGCCAACGGCGATTGCGTCAATTCAACGGCGCAAAGAGTCTCCCAAGCGCGACGCACGCGCGCGCACACACACACACACACACACACGCAAACACACACACACACACACACACACACACACACACACACATACGCACCCACCACATTTTTTACATTTTTCCAGATGCAACGTCCAAATCTGAAGTTGTCAGCATGCCCTCTTCGCCTGCAGCCCCCATCGCTAGACCTCTCGGGGGCAGGGAGCGTGGGGGGATCGCGGTGGGCGTGGGGGGCGGCGCGTGTGCGGGCAGGGGGGATGGGGGGGAAACGCATGGTGGGCCGACTCCGAGGCGTGGCGCGCGGGCGGGCGGCGGCGGGGGCGCGGGGGCGGGTGCCACGGCGGGGGAAGGGGGTGGGGGGGCGGTGCGGGGGGGGGGGAGGCGGGGTGCAGGGGGGGTGCACTTAAGCGCGCGTGGCCATTCGCCGCGGCCGCGGCCTCTCTGCCCTTTGGCGGCGCCTCACCACCGAAACGTTAAACGACATCAAACGACATTAAACAACATTAAACAACATTAAACAACATTAAACAACATTAAACAACATTAAACAACATTAAACAACATCAAACAACATTAAACGACATCAAACGACATCAAACGACATCAAACGACATCAAACGACATTAAACGACATCAAACGACATTAAACGACATTATACATATTCGACATCAAACAACATTAAACGACATCATTCGACATTAAACAACATCATTCGACATTAAACAACATCATTCGGCATTAAACAACATTACACAACATTAAACGACATTAAACAACATTAAACGACATTAAACGGCATTAAACGACATCAAACAACATTAAACGACATCAAACAACATTAAACGACATTAAACGACATCATTCGACATTAAACAACATCATTCGACATTAAACAACATTATACGACATTAAACAACATTAAACGACATCAAACGACATCATACGACATTAAACGACATCAAACGACATTAAACGACATTAAACGACATCGAACGACATCAAACGACATTAAACGACATTATACACATTCGACACCAAACACCATTAAACAACATCAAACGACATTAAACGACATCAAATGACATTAACACAACATCATTCGACATTAAACAACATTCGACATTAAACGACATTAAACGACATCAAACGACATCAAACGACATTAAACGACATCAAACGACATTAAACGACATTAAACGACATCAAACGACATCAAACGACATTAAACGACATCAAACGACATTAAACGACATTATACATTTTCGACATTAAACAACATTAAACGACATCAAACGACATTAAACGACATCAAACGACATTAAACAACATCATTCGACATTAAATAACATCATTCGACATCAAACAACATTAAACGACATCAAACGACATTAAACGACATCAAACGACATTAAACAACATCAAACGACATTAAACGACATTAAACGACGTCACGACATCAAACAACATTAAACGACATCAAACAACATCAAACGACATTAAACGACATCAAACAACATTAGACGACATTACGGATAGACAGCATCAAACGACATTAAACGACATTAAACAACATCATTCGACATCAAACAACATTAAACAACATCAAACGACATCATACCACCTGAACCAACGTTCACCTCACCTTTCAAGGCACCGCCCCATGGCCCCGCATGCCCCCAGAGCCCCTTCAGCCCCCCCCCCCCCACTCCCGCCACTCGCGCAAGCCCTCTCCGACGCCCCTCGGCCCCCACCCAATGGGTCCGCCCTCGCATTCCCCACCCCCCCACCCACTCCTCCATCCCCACCACCCGAGACAGGGGGCGGTCGCCCCCGTCTCTAGTCCCCACCCCACGCATCCCCATCCGCGCACCCCCCCCCCCCCCCCCCCCCCCCCCCTCCCCCCACCACCACCTCCCACGCACCGCCCCCCATGGGGTTCATCCTCCACCCCGCCCCACCGCACCCCCACCATGCCCCCCCGCCCCCCACCCCAACCACCACCGCACCACCATAAGACCTCCCACCGCGGCCCCACACGCCATGGCCCATGTGCCAAGTATGAAGAGTGTGAGTAACACGGCCGCGGCAAAGTATGTCAGCCGCGCGTCGCGTCCAGCGTGCGCCGATCGCCTCGGCGCGGGGGGGGGAGCTGCTCCTCGCTGTTGCCTCCTGCTGCTGCTGTTGTTGCTGCTGCTGTTGCTGTTACCGTTGCTGCTGCTGGTGCTGCTCTGCTGCTCTACTAGCACGCACGCGGCACGCGCGCGTACACGCACGCATGCACACGCTCACGCCCGCGCGCACACCTTTTTTTGAGTCAGCGGCGCAGCGGGCATCCTCAGTCGCGTCAGCTCGAGGCGCAACTTGCCACGCACGCACGCACGCACGCACGCACGCACGCACACACACACACCAAAGTCTCCACAGGCACAGGACACACACACAACTCAACGCACTGGCCCCCCCCCAAGCGCACGCACGCACGCACGCACGCAGCTCACGCAACGCAAATCTCACGCACGCACGGACGCACGCATCGCACGCACGCACGCAAAGCACAACACCCCCACACACACAGACACACACACACACACACACACACACACACACACACACACACACACACACACGCTGCACATACACATGCGCATGCCTACACCTCGCCTGACCGCGCGCGCACGTGCATACCCAACATGTTGGTCTGTATGCAATGCGCGTGCGCATGCACCGATGTGCGCGTTCACGCTATGCAGACACGCATGTATAAGCAGTTCCAGTAATGCATCCGACACATTGTATATGCCCGTGTGTATACCAATTCGTGCACACATCTTTGTGCAGCTGAATTAACTTGTATACACGTACGCACGCACATGCCAAGGTAACACTCATCAGTGACATGTGAAATTGCAAGATGGGAAACATCACTGTGCCCACTCATCCCGATCATGCCCTCTTCGCCTGCGGCACCACGCGTGTGCAAGTAGGATATCGCGATATCGACCACCTGACGTCCTTGAGTAAGTCGGCCGCGGGGAGCCCCGCAGGGTTCTGGAAGGAGAGGGGCGCGGCTCCACGGCTGGGGCTCATCCTCAAACTGAGGGGCTCTCTCTTGGATGAGTCTCCTCATGCTCCTTCCCCTCTTCATCCTGCTTCTTCTCCCCCTAGTCTTCCTCCTTCTCCTCGTCCTCATCCTCCTGACCCCCCCCATTCTAAATTCTCATCCTCAATCTCAAGCGATCCTCATCCATTTCTCCTTCCCCCTCCCTCCTCTCCCCTCCTCCTCCTTCTGAAATGCTGGACGTTCCCCTCCTCCTCGAACTCGCCCTCGTCGACCCTCGTCCTTGTTCTTCTCCTCATCCTCCTCCTCCTGCTCCTCCTCCCCCTCCTCCTCCTCCTCCTCCGCCTCCTCATCGATCCTCGCCCTCATCCTCCTCGGGCCCTGTTCCTATATCCACCCCGATCCTACTCCTCCTCCTCCTCCTCCACTTCCCCCTGCTCATTCTCGCCCTGCATGCTCCTCCTTGATCCTCCTCATCCTTTGATCATGCTGCTCGTCCTCCTCCCGAAGAGCCTCGCCCTCCTCCTGCTCCTGGATGCTCGCCCTGTTCATCGACCTCGAGGCCTCTATATTCACCGCCTGCCCCCGTCCATTTGGATATCTGGCCCCCGGGGCCCGAACAACGCAAACGACGTTTTCTGGGCCCAGGGCCCTCGGGCTCGGAAAAACATGAGAGGTGGAGGGGTGGCGATCGCGAGCGTCGAACGTCAGCGGATTCAGGAGTGGAGGAGTGGAGGGGGCGTCGCGTTGTTCGGGCCCCTGCAAGCCCCAGGTATACCGGGCGGGAGAAGGGGGGCCGCCCTCGCCTCGGCACCGATCGATCGTGTTTTCGGGGCCCTTGGGCCAAACATAACTTGAGGGGGAGTGGGCGATCACGCGCACGGCGCTCGGAATTCCATGGGGCCGGGAAAACTATACGGAGGGGGCCGCCCAGAACACGACTGACGCAGATCGGATACCTTAAGGTAGAACACGACTGAAGCAGGTGGAGGAAGGGCGATCGTTTTTCGGACGTCCGAAATCGGACGCCCGAAAAACGATCGCCCACTTCCGTCCACCCCTCATGTTTTCAGAGGCCCAAGGGGTCCGATACAACGAAAATTGCCTCGTGCACATACAATCTTTCCCTTTGCATTCCCTTGTGTTGCAGGCGCAGCGCACGCCAACGCAACATGATTTTGCTCTGCAGTCGGCGGCGCTGCTCGCGTGCTCGCCTGGGCTGCAGCGGGTTTTCTGCTCCCTCTCGCTCTCTTTTTTTGTTTTTCTCTCTCTCTCTCCCTCCTCACCCCCCATCTCTGTCTTACGATTCTTCTCGCGCAGAAAATCCTATCGCCCCTCTCTCTCTCTCTCTCTCTCTCTCTCTCTTTCTCTGTTCTCTCTTCCTGCATCCCCCCCCCCTTCCCTTATCACAAATCCTAGTCGCCGCAAGTCGGCGTGGCGACCCATCTCGTCGACGAGATGGTCGATATCCACGGTCTGGTGCCAGGCCTGGCGTCTTCCTCCTCCTCCTCTTACTCCTCCTCCCGAGCGTTCTTCCTCCCCTTCTTCCTCCTCCTTCGCGTTCTGTCTCCTCCTCCTCCTCCTACTACTACTACTCCTACTCCTCCCCCTCCTCCTCCTCCTCCTCCTCCTCCTCTTCCTTCCTTCTCCTCCTCCTCCTCCTACTCCTCCCCCTCCCTCCTCGAGCTCCTCCATCCTCCTCCTCCGCCGCCTCCTCCTCCTCCTCCTCCTCCTGCTCTCCGACTCAACATCAATCCTCCTCCTCCTCCTCCCGCCGAGCCTGATCAATATTCGGTCAGCATCTC